CGGGAGGGGGAGCTCTCATCTCGGCGGAGAGAGGAGCGGAGCTGGCCCCCGCCGGGCGGCCGGTGGGGTGGGGTGGGGTGGGGTGGGGGTGCTCGGCGGCCCGCGAGGTGCGGGGCGGCACAGGCCGCGGCTGCCGCTGAGCACAGCACCTGCCTGGGGCGGTGCGCTGGCGAGGAGTAGAACTGCGGGAAACGATGACGCCAGGTTACTTCAGGGGCGTTGTTGCGTCATCTGAGCGCCTGAAATTAAAGCGTGTAGCTGTTACCGTCCGAGGGACGGGTACCTCACGGTATCGGCTCACCAGCCTGCTCGCGGGCAGGATCGGGCCCGAGATAACAGAGCTTTTATTACAGCTTCTCCGTAGTCTGAGTGTCACAAATCCTACTGGTCCGAGCTCCGCACCGATTTAAATAGCTCGGCTTTCCTTCAGTGGGCGCATTAACATTTAATTGCCGTGTCAGCGAGCAGCAGCGGCAGCAGCATCTCTCCGTGGAAGCGCTGCTGCCTGCACCAGCCGCATTCACAGAGGTCAAAATGGAGATGGGAACCTGGTGGGCGATTTAGTCATTCTGTGTGCACATGAAAAGCCTTACAGGATTGTTACTAGGGTACAAAAATCATTTAACCGCCTTCTCACAGTCGGTTTTCCTTAAAAAAAACAATGCCACCTATGTCTTTGGGCAAGGGCATCAGAAAGGGGCAGTGGTGCAAAGAAATACAGAGTAGCCCCTTTTCCTTACCCACCGAAAAGTGCAGACAAAAAGAACCAGAATAAATTTCAAATGCTAGAGTTCTTCCCTTTTGAGCAAGTTGAGCTGTTACCAATAATTAAGATAGGGAGGAATTTCTATTCAAAGCAGCTCACACTCATCCTTTAGCTGCATAAATTAATCTGTGTTTATTTCTTGATTCTTAACAAGGGGAAATGTAATCTATAGCTTTAACAAAATGAGTACTAAGTGGTAAATCCAAGCTATTTCACAAAAGCTATTTCAAGCTTTCCCTCAAGCTACCTCATAAAAGCTATTTCAAGCTTTCCTTGTCTCTGATTTAGTACGTTTTATAGCCCATGCTAACCCACCAGAGGCCATAAGTATTTCATTATCTCGGAGCTAGCATTTGATTAATATGACCAGAATTCTTTCCCAAATTATTCTTAACTAAAAATTAGATGTGTTATATCAATTATTAAAAGAGAGAAAATACATCAGTTAAAAAGTTTGTGTTGAAATCAGGATTAATAAAGATATACATTATCTGAACTCCTCTTACTATAAACTAAGAAAATAAGTAAATATCCGCTGCACTAGATATAAACTACTTCTATTAAAGCTCCTGTCAGCATAGTCCTCTACAAAGTCTGTACTGAAAGCTTTACTAAGTCTTTCCTCTGTGGAGATGCAGTGGCAGCTATATGCCCCACAAAAGGGAGAATCAGGCCAGCAAAGTTTCCCAAAGAGATGCCCTTAATTAAGTAGTTACTTTGGCCTGATGCACTTCACTATCCCTCAGAGTTTGTTTTAATTTAGAGAGGGAGGTGCAAATAAACCTGGCAGCCTGCTGCTTCCCCAGGAAACTTAGACTTCTCTCTACTCCAAGGCAGCTTTTACAGGTCGCTGTTCCATGAATCGCCAACGCAAAGTTAGAGCTGTCTTTCCCCAGAGAAGTTTCGGTGAAAGACAGCAGTGGAGATTCTGCCTCTCGCCAGCTGTCCCGGGGTGGCAACCCCGCAGGACTCTAGGAGGAAGACCTGGCACATCCCCCGGCCAGCCAGCGTGAAGAAGGCTTGCAGAGCACACACACCCACAAGAAGGCCTGTCTTCAGGGTCACTAGGTGACTTACCTCTGTAGTCATCAACAGCAGAAACAGTTGGCTAGCTTGAGTCTTCAGTGAAGAAAACCAGAGCCAAAACATTTAATCCATAGTATGGACACAACAAAATTTAGTGAGTTCTTACGATTTCTGGCTATTTGCTTATATACTTTGTTAAAATATGCAGATTATGTATTCATTTTATAATACTGCCACTATGAAACCCAAAGTAACATTTTTAAGTGCCACAATGCCGAATACTGTGCTGTAGAGAGTTTTGAAGAGACTCTGCAACAACCCCCTCTGCACTCCCCCATGTCTGGCTTCAAAAGGGAACATCTAAGGGCAGTGTTTGTTTATGCCAAGATACACAAAGTGTTCTGTTTGCTCCTGGTCAAACTGCCAGGCTTGTCTCAGCTTGAGAGCTTCCAAGTTCTACTAGTCAAGTACAACCCTCTTCTCTGAGTAACGAGAGTACTTCCAAAATGACAGAGCAGTTGCAGCTGCCCAAACTAACCAGTAGGCAAAAGTAATTTGCAGTCACGCTGCCCTAGATTGGAAAATTAAGTAGCTGCATAAATGTGACAGGTCAATGTTTTATGCAGCCCTTTCAAGTACAGATTAAGCCTCGTCTGTGTAATACGGTGCTCAGAACTAGCCGTTCCTTTCTCCAGCACATTGCTAGCTTGCAACCAACAGTAGAGCAGTAAAGACCTCCTATAGTATCTTTCCTGAGTGCAAAGCCCATAAGAAAAGCTTTAGTGAACCTGGTCAATTTGACCCTTGAAAATTAAACTGCAGCACCAGCTAGAATGGCATTTATCTGGTTTCCATAATATCATAAGCGCAGAGAGAGAGCCACCTTCTCCTGCATAGTCACCACTCTCCAACAGAGAGTGTTCTTGGGTTACTCTTTTCAAAGGAGGAATATTCTCATCCTCATCCAGAATTTAGGCAGACAGTTTTTGTCATAATAAATGCCAGGAACAAGTCAGTGCTTCATCACAGGTTGAGATACAGACCTGACAGGTACTTAGTAAAGTACTGTAATGCATCACTGGTCTGGGTCTGTGTGCCTGGTGAGGGATCCTTTGGTGTTCGGTTTCCATCTCCCTGCCTGCAAGTGCTGTCTCCGACTCCTCAGAGTGGCTTTTCAGAAACTCTAACAGGCACAAATGACAAAGCAATTATGTGAGTTTTGTGGAGAACCGTGGGAGTTTTCTATGAGATTATAAGAACTTTATCCACTATCACATCATTTCTTTTATCCACCGCTGAGCCATCCTAATAAGCTTTTTGAAACACTGCTGCCTCGTGGAGGTTTAGTGAGAACTAAATAATACCAACCCAGGGAGCCCTGGAACTGAACTAGCCCTTCCTCGCCCCACCTAAGGGCAACGCTAAGGGCTCTGCAGAGCACCGGCAGAAAAGACAGCAGGCTGGGTTCCTGGGTACTGCACGTGGAAAGCCCTGGTGACTTCTATCCCAATTTGATCTTAACATAGCTGTGCCAGCACAGTTACGTACTGCTTAAGCTATAAAAATAGTAGCAGATTTAAATCAAAACAGCAGTCCGTATTGATGGCTTTTATTCTGTAAAAATGCTAATTCTGTAAAACCACTTTTAAGATCTTCATTTGGGATTTAAGTTGCTTAGCAATAAATTTATTAAAACTAACATAGGCTAGTGCAAAGGAAGTAACACAATAAATAATAAACTTGCATTTGTTCCTTTCCTTCTGTAAAGGTTTAACACAAAAATAGATAAGAATTACTTTATCAGCTTCTGAAATGGATCCAGCTCTTAAGTGCATTGTAATAACCATTTACCTCTGCACCTGAATGCCATAAAACAGATTATTATTGCAGCACCAAGGAGTTTCATTGTCCCGGTCATTCATTCAAACTTCTGGTCAACCCGGAGTTGTTGTTTGGGAACCATAGAACAGCTGAGGTTGATGGGCACATCTGGTGCCTTGAAAGGTTGTCTAGTCCAACCTCCCCTGCTCAAAGCAGGGTCAGCTGGAGTTCAGGGCTGTGTCCCTTGGAGTTTTGAATATCTCCAAGGATGGAGACTGTGCCACCTCCCTGGGCAACATGCTCCAGTGTTCAATCACCCTCACAGTAAAAAAAAAAATTAAAATGAATGAGCCCTTGTAGTCTCGCAGCCCAGTGAAGATGTGGTCCAGATGAGCTGCTGCCGCTCCATCAAAATTCCAGTGCATGTCTTAGTGGTTTTTATATCTGTCTTATGTGCTAGAAGAGACCTGTATTTTTCAGCTTCCCTGTTAAGGTGGACGGTGAATGATACTCAGTTTTGCCGTCACCACAAATTGCTTCCACGTCTATATATACGACTGTTGTACAAACATTTAATCTTGTGTCAAAGAGCATGTTCAGAGTATCACAGTTTTCCTCCTCCTGAGTTGGTGGTTGTACTGAATAGTACTACAGTAATAGGAGATAGGCTAGAACATTGTCATAACAGGGAATCCTGCAATTACAGTCAATATAATGGAGAGATCCTGGGGCTCTTTTTAAATGTGTTTTTCAGATTGCAGTATTAGCAGTTGCTGTTCAGGAAACTGAAAGTATTGAGACAAGTACATTCAGGTAGAAGTAAGGAGTATGTAGCAAAAAACTTCTGTGGTTTTCAGAATGAAAGATTTTTTTTTATTATTACTTCTGAAGAATTGAAAAATAATGGATAAACAGGACAATATTCAAATTCTGCTTCTATACTTGTTCGTGTGCTTTCAATCCAGTGTTAAAGGTGTGCTGCTTAGCTGATTATGGT